CATAATCGAGAACTGTTCGCTCGAAGCGACATTGAAATATCGCGCCAATCGTGATCGATAAGCAACCGTGCATATATGTGGCGATTATATTTCCTCGTCCACCGATCGATCTCGCGAGTGCTATTAATCTTTAATTGAACGCCGCCGAGCTCAGGGATTCCCGTATTTACGCGATTGTATATTTATTCAAATCGCAATTACGCGAGTCGAGTTGAGCCAAACTGTGAACTGAGCTGTATTTAGTTGAGTCAATTCGGCTTGTTCCTCGGATAGTCCTTGAGATTCCTAGTAAGACGACTGGATAACAATGACGCCACGTGGCCGTTGTCTCCTCACTCACGAACTCTCGTTATGTTTGTAAACGTTTCGTGCGAACCGATCAATGGCGTTTCCTCGAACATCGGCGAGATCCCTGTTCCCCCAGACGTTATACCGAGAAGAATAATCACCGTCTATGCAAACACTGCATAAGCAGCATTAGTTTTGGATGAGCGAAGCGAGAAAGCGCGTCGTCAGCTTCGAGGGAATATTTGCGCTCGCTCGCTCGCTCATAAGAGACGAGAGAGAGGACTTTCGCTACCGCTTTTCATTCGGCATACAAAGTGGTTGGTCTTAGATTATGATTTCTCAGTATTTTTGTGTATATATAAATATCATATTATATCAATATTATATCAATATCTCTCTTCGCGAAACTTCTTTCTTTTGTTGTTCCTTACCGGCTGTTTGTCGAAGTTGGGCAAATCATTATTTTAATGATTAATCCCTCGAAGAATCAGGCCGAACGTTCTTTTTCTATTCCTTGCTACATTTTTCACGTTTAATCTACCGTTTGGGAAACACCTGGATGTTTCCTTCACAACACTTCATAACTTCACACTAACCGTACGTGACGAAAAATCTTACGTTAAATTTAACATATTTCATACGTCCCAAATGATTCACATAAATCCTTGTACCAACTTGGTACAAAGTGAATACGTTGAAAAAAATAACAAATAACAAATATATTATGTCAGAAATTAACACAAAATTGTACGATATATCCGTAATACCTTAATCGACTTCTTGAATTTCCACGTGGCTGGTACTCGTCGAAATGACACCGCGAAATTCCGCGAAAGAATACATCACTCGAGCCAAGGGCTGGTGGAACGTTTGTCGTTCGACCGACGTACGTTTCCTTGCCAAAACCGGCGAAATATATTCACTCCGCGTCACTTCGCGATCCGTTCGCAGACTGTTGAAACGCATCGATACGAATGAGCATCACGTATCCGAGACTCGTGGCCCGACGAAGCAAGTTCTTGTCCGTTCCGGACGGAGGACGAGGAGGCAATGGGAAGTCGATTTTGAAGGTACTAGAGCCCATGGAGGGACTCAGTTTCTGAGTGGCCGAATTTTTTCGACCTATGCCGGCCGTCGGACTACGGGAACAGACCAATCCTGTTCTCAAATCGTAGAGACCGGTTTATTGACCAGACCGGATAGGGCTGGTTGAGCTCAACGACGTTCGGCCCCGCTCGACTTACAAGCAGACGATTCTGTCGGGAGTGGGGGAGAGACGGAAAAAGAGAGGACTCAGGGTAGGGAGATGCAGGAATTCCTGGGCAATCGGCCTTCGGGCATTTCTCTTTCCCGTCTGGCGATTAACCTTCCCGTGGAAACCAGTCATTCCGAGTGACCATGCGTTCTTCGAATCACATTGACCCCTGCCACGAAGTCGCTTTCTCTTTCTTCCTCTCGGTCTCCCTCTCCTACCACGCTGCGAAAGAAACACAGCCACGTTGTGCGTCTGAGCGTTATCGCTCGCCCTTATCGTTCACGCGACTGATACCCATGAGTTCACTTCATTCTCACGTCGAAACGAAATCCGAGAATCCGTTGAGAGAGTGAGACACGTTAGTTCACGGTTCTCGTCCGGAGATTCGAGAAAGATCGATTCAGCGTTTGTAGAATTCGATGCGTGGATGTTTCCACGACGTCTTACGACGGATATGCGCGTGCGTAGGCTTGAAACGCGCGGAGTAGTCGTTGGTAATGACACGATACACCTTCTAAGAATGCATCGCACGCGTTTCTTCGGGCGTGAATCTCTCCCCTTCCTCCGTGTCTCATTTCTCTCCTCTTCGCCGGCCACTCTCGCTGCTGAGTTGCACTATGTCGCGCATATTATGCACGCCGACTCCGAAGCGGGCGGCAGGCATTCACGCTTGAATGCGTCAACGGGATCTGCCTTTTTTCCGCGCGGCGATGCCCCGCGACGACTACGCGTGTTATGCGGGAACGTTTCGTAACACTCCAATCTCGGGGAGTGCGCGTTCCTCCGAGGAAACGAATCTCTTCGATAAATAATTCCAAGTTTCTCGTTAATATCGAGTTATCTCGCTCGATTCAACATTTATTATTATTTTGATAACCGATATCAGTTTAGTACGCGTTGCTATGGTCGAAGTTAACTGAGCGATAAGATATTCATTCTCTTTCTTGCAACGATCTTATCTCTCAATATTTGTTATTGTTGGCTTTTTTCCTTTTTAATGATAATTAGATACAGATAATTAGCCGACGTGGTTGGATCTCGAGGTGTGACCTTTGCCGAATCGAAGGTCGAGGAGCCGAGCTCGTCGAGGCGTACGTTCCTGAGGCTTGATTCATGTCTCATTAAACACGTGTTTGCTCGATGATTACGTCGCGGCGTGATATACTTTCGCACGCGCGCGCGTAACGACGACAGATCTGTTTGTCAACTTTGTCTCGCGAGGCGGTCGTAATTTTCAAGCTCGTTTACGATGAAGACCGTGCTAAAGCAGTTTCGTACGTAACGACGAGACGGAAACGGCGACGAGTTTACATCCACGCTCGTCGGCGAGCGCGCGCGCGCTATCAAATATGCACCGGACGATTCGATTCGCAAAAACTGACCATTAGTCGGATTATTCGCGCGACCTCGCGTGAAATCTTAGATAACAAAATCGCTGTGCGAGCGAACCGCGAGCTGCGTCCTCCTATTCCGCGGTGTCAGGCAAACGCAAGGCGAAGCAGATAAGCTCGTGGTGTTTACACAATTGCAATGATATATACACGCGCTTCGCAGTGCGTTTCGGTTGCGAGCGACGAATCGCAAAATATCGGAATGCTAATATGAAACTCAGCGCCCATTGCGCCCTCGGAAATCGGCTAAAAACGCAGTTCCTTTCAATCCTGAATGACGTCGTCTAGTTATGGACGTGCAGTTATGAATTTTACACTATTTCATGCGATATCACAAAAATACTATTTTACTTTGGAAATGAAACGGTGGGAATTCAGCTGACTGTACGATCAAAGTACCGAACCGATGTATCGACCTTCAAAACAAACGCGCGAACGTTTCACTACTTCAGTCGACCTTGTAAATAGGTAGTGCCCAAGATTTCCGAATTATTGTCTCCCCCCTCTTTCTGGCCTGGTTCCAACAGTTTTAACATCCAGGAGAAAGATACCTGTGCGAGCGGAAATCTGGTCTTTCGGGACGATGTCGGGGTGAATGTGTTTCCGCGCACTCGCGCGCAAACATCTGCACGGAGATAAAGGGAGCGAGCGAGCGAGAGAGAGAGAGAGAGAGAGAGAGAGAGAGAGAGAGAGAGACGAAATGGAAAAAGATACGTGCGGACGTATTTATCGCGCGCGGATCCCGCGTGTGCATTGTAAGGTCCGCCGACCGAGCGCGCAGATAAGCACGCGCGTTGCGCACGTAACAGTATAAATAACTTGCGCAAGCGTTAATGAATGCTTATCTCCCTGCGCCCCCTCGAAAAAGTCGCGAGATATATACCGAGGCAGCCGTTGCGTTTTATTATCTTTGTTGTTGCGCGCGCGTTCGCGCCAAGGAGGAGAGAAAGAGCGCGCGCAAACGAAATCACGTTGCATTTACACGAGCCGAACGAATTTCTCCGCGATGCCAGGAGAAAAAGCTTGCTTCCCGGGGTCCGTTTTTTTTTTTTTTCGAGATTGCGCGCGCGAATGGCATAAATAAAGACATCGATTGCGTTAACGATGCGATTTGTTAGAAGTGAAAGTTTGACGTACGCTTTTTATCATCCGTCGTCATCGTTATTTTCTCGATTGCGCGAAATCGTACATGTTTCCCGATCTATAATCTGATGTTAAGTACGGCTAAAATTGTAAAGAAATAATCGTGCGGAATCAGCGGTTGAAACGCGAGCGAAAACGCTGCGATCGAATCCGATAACGGGAACAGCTGATAACGCGCACAGAAGGTCGGCCGTACAATCCCTGTGGCACTCTTTCTCTCTTTTTTCTCCCCGTCGCGTTACGCTATTCGTTATTTCCGACGGTAAGCTTTACGAACGTAGGCCGCGGAGCGGCTAGATAGATCGATAAGGAATGCGAAAGCGAGGGGGCATGGGAGAGCCGGCCGAGTTCCTTTACGACCGTATAAATTACGTGCGTATAAATTACGTCTGTCGTTTAAGCGTCGTTGCGGAACGCAACGTACAAAGACGCTCACGCGCGGTCAACAAGGAGAGGCGAGGTCGCATTATTTTTTCCTCCTATTTTTGCCCCATCGACGGACTTTGATTATCGAAGCAAGGCGGGCGAGAACGACCAATTTCGACACGAGGATAACACGCTCCTGGTGATAATGATCACATGGATAAAGAAGCGTGAACGAACGTTGAGGTAGAAATGTTTTAATTAGGCAAAGTTAACCGCCTGTGCGAGCTGTACACCGACGCCTGAAATGTATATAATCGCAAGTGGCTATATAATTTACCATTAATTTGTATAATTAATTAAGACCCGTTCGAAAGCTGACAGTCAAGGTCGCGTTCCACTAAAATTCATCGACCGAGATTGTCGGCGAGACCCTCGCACGGCGACGGCCGAATCCGCTCTCGATCGCCGTCGGACTCGCAAATCGGCCGGCCAATTTATACCCACTGATTCGTATAATCGTGTGATAACGACGGGACGCTTCCCGCTGCTTGTTACAGGGAACGCCGCGAGGCGGAAGTGCGCGAGCGCGAGCGAGAGGCGAAGATGGAACGTGAGAGGCTCGAGAAGCAGAGGGCGGCCGAGCAAGCGGTTCACAAGCACTTCGAGGAGTCGCTCAGCAGGCTGGCACAACAGAAGGTTAGTCAAGCTTTACTTGAATGTCGTGACGCGGCTTAAAATACGCCTTTTGACGGTTTGTAAAGATCCGATTTCCATACGATTTCTCCTGAAAAAGAGCCGCACAATACCGTGTGTTTGTCAAGCTCGTGCGGTTTGTCTTCGGTACACCTGGATAATTTGATCTCGCTTCGAACGTTTCGCAACGTTGTTCCGGTTCCATTTCATTACGTTCAAACGTTTCGTGATTCAAGATCGGACGGTATATTGCTAGCCGTGTATAAGATATATGAAGGTGATTAAAGAAACTGTCGTACTTCTCTTTGTTCTCTGTCCTTCTTGGACGATGAAGCTTTCGATTTCAGTTAGAGAAAGCTCGTCTCAGTAAATAGCATATCGATGGTACCTTCTAGCCGATTTACAACGTGGCGCGAGAAATAAAAATACTCAGAAAAATGTACGTCGAACGTTCGTTAGAAATAGAGAACCGATAGTTCACGTAAGTGTGTGGTGATTAATATACGAGACAAGTTTTATTTGCATTTATAAGATGCATGTAAATAATGGTAATCGCTTCATCGTGTGACGTTTTCCACGCGCAGTAATATTCATTTGATGCCCTTGTCTCGTTGTTTACAACGAATAATAATGTTCAGTTTTGATGCGACACTACTGCGTCAGCCGCCAATGTCAAAAGCCACGGAGGATATTGTTATTGTAGAAAAGAATTGCATTTTCCTTTACGACGATATCGATTGAAGCAGCAATATGCAAAGTTGCTGTGTAAGTGCATGCGTGACTTTTTGAGGAATTACCATTTATAGGTCAGCTATTGTTTGTTGAGTTGTAACTGAGACTCTCGAGTGTTATTGGCGCTACTTCGTTAAATCCAAGAGTAAGTAATGGAGGCAAGTTGTGGAAGTCACTACCTCATGTTGACCTGAGATAGCTTTTTCGCTATCTCAGGTCAACATTCCGTATAAACTGTTGGTTCATCCATTTTTTTTTGTTATTCGACAATAAAAAGTAAGATACGCGAAAAGTCCTCCTGGAAAAAAATCACCGCTCCACGACGAAATTATATATTTGTTATGCAGTGTTCGTTAGTGTTTTAATGAATTATCAGCTTTTCTGCATTAGAATGTATTTAATATACCTGACATATCCCGTTGTCATTATCGCATATATTATCGTTGCATATGTGAAGGATTTGAAAGATAACAATCCTTGAACCAATGATCTTCTGAGGAGACTATTGTGTGTTTAAAACTGAATATGTCTAGTTAGAATTGAAAAAGAAAAAAAAAACACCCAAACAAAAAAACACCCTACAGAATCACTCTACAAAATAATGGTATATTGGTGACGTTAAATTTTAAAAGCACGATGAAATCATGCATAATCCGTTTCGATATTGTCCGGGAAATACCGACGAGAGGGACAAAGACACTGCCGCTTTCTTCGTTGTCGAAGATTCATGCGTTATTTTGACGAAGTTATCTGGAAACGTCCGTACAGTCTGCTCTTTGTTCGCTAATTATCGCATCCATCGTCGGACGCAGGGAACGACGAGGAGCCATACCGGTAGTGCGGCGTCTAACGAGTTAATAACGAGGGGGCTCGAGTTTCCCTCGGGGTGCGCTCTTTGTCTCGCGCCGAGATCGTTACTACACGATCTTTATCCGAGGACAGGGAGGGTGATAAGAGCGAGGGATACAACGAGGGGGTTGTTGCGCTACTGAGAAATCCGGGATCGGCTCCTATCAAAGGTTGTTCGAGAAAGAATTTTTCCGCTTCCGTTCTCACGGGGCGGAATCTCGGTTAGAGTAAATGCGCGATCGGCATTTCCGAAAGTGATGAGCGACTGACAATGAGAGTGGAAAAAAAGTGTTCCGAAGTTTTCGATCAAATATCCCGTCGACGAGTAGTCGAACGTAAAGTTGTAAAGAAAATATATGGAAATTTTATCAGCTTTTTTATTGCTTAACGGTGCACATTCCATCAGCAGTAGGCAAAGGGTAAAACTATTTAGTCTACCATTAGTCTTCCAGGATTTCCTAGTGACTCACGAGCTATAAATTCTTCCCATTACTAAGTTTTTTTAGGAAACTAAAATGCAAACTGGTGCCGAGGAACGGGCGCTTCCTGCAATGGGCAAACAAAGATGACCCTGGTTGCTATTCAGAAAGTTAGGCCCGCCCCTCTCAAACTCTAGCACGAAGTGCAATATCTTCAATAGTTCGTTGTGAACAGTTTCTCCGAACAGTTGCAAAGTATTAATTCGCCTATTTCGCTTATAAATCGATACCATCTATGTAGTTCTATCCATCTAGTTATCAGTCGAGTTTCTTATGCATTCGTAACCGCGCTAATAGAAAATTATGGAGCTAATATTCGCTTTTCGAGGGTGAAACAAGGCATGTGGTGAGGTCGTTTTAAATATCGTAGTCTAAGAAGCAGCATTAATGATTCTTTTCGACAAATGCTTTATATTGCTCGCAATATTTTGGACGTCTGGTTTGATTGACTACCCGTTACTAACTAAATTCGATAAGAAATTAGTAATATATACGGTGAAGAAAATCAGGGAAGGTACAAGAGCCATGCGTACCAAGGACTGCTGGTGTTCTTTGTGTGTGAAATATTACCATGCGTCTTTAAACGGAGTACCATACCATAGAGTACAAGAGTTGATTTACAATTATGACCAGGTTAGTTTTTTTTTTTAACTATACTATGAGCGATTGATGATTATAAGGATAATTGTAAGTCTCGTCGCAAACTACTGCTGCACCCTGCGTCGTGCATTCCGTCTTGAAGTAAGTTCTTGATCACCAACGTGACTCGAACGCTCAATGGTGCTACATGAAAGTATCGATCGAAGACGCGATGTTAATTAGTGATCGAACGTTAACTAACGATAATCGTTGAGCGCTACGAACGACACTCAATACGTATCGCGCGTCCAACCGTCTTAATATATTTGACAATTTGACCATTTCAAAAGTTGGTTGATATTTTGAGAATGTTCATTGTGTCGCGATTTCTCGGCCACCGTATGTTCGCGTCATTGATTGGCAGACGACGACGGTTGGTTATTAGAAGAAGAGTGACTTCGCCGATTGTTTTGATATTCTCGTTGTGTATTTGTCCATGATCGCGTCTTAAGCCGATGAACGACGCAAAGTGCGTGTATGTGTGTAGTGTGTTTACGATTCTTGTCGAGTGAATAGAAAATATTTCATCGGCTGTTGAAATATTTAATCGGGCTTTTGTGTCGATATCGCGTTTCCGTTAACACATGTTTTCCCAATCGAATTTTATCTATACAAGTGTGTCAGTGAATCAGTGATAATATTCGGAACTGCGAAGTAGCTAGAAATAAGATTTTTAACCACGAAATCAGGACGCAGGATGCTCGGACATGAGTGGCGATATATTACCAGATGTGTCGAATTATTTGTCGCAGAAATTATTTTCCATCTTAACGGTTGTTCAAGATTCACCGAGAATCAAGGGAGATATTCCGAGTCGGAATTTAGAATCTACTCCGAGGCCGATATTCGCAGTCTCTTATCGTTTGATACGTAATATTTCATGTATCTCTGATTTTCATATTAACTTGTGCAATACTTATGCAATACTTATTCGACAGGAAATGTCGATCTAAACAGCCGAACATAGTTAAATGTGTTCTCAATTCAAGATTGTAAATAAATCACAACTACGAATATCGGCTTAAAAATGGCAAATGTAGAGATTTGTTCTAATGATGCTTTTTGACAATGTGTGAGGATAAAGGCGAATAAATAAAGGTGAATAAATTGGCATTATGTACAAATTATCGACGTAATTAAAATGTTTCAATCACACATGTCAATACATTCCAGCATAGCGACTGTTTGTATACATAATAACGAAGCGATAAAAACATGGTAAACAATACATTTTTTTTTTTATACATGACTTGACGTTTTATGTTGCAAATGCCGCTTTGTTTGAATAATAGCTCAGATATCGTTGCAAATATCGTTTTCCCTGAATAATAATTGAGATATCGTCGTCGTTTCCTTAAATAATCAACAGTCACGCTGTATGAATATGTCAGCACAGTATGATAGATTTACTACTGTACTTATAGCCGCTAAAAGTGTTAAGGTTATTACACCGATCGAAACTCTCGCTCTCGTCGTCGACGAAACGTCCCCCTTCCGTCACCTCTAACTTGCCGCTACGTCGCGGGTGTACTTATTTCTTAACGGCTGGAAGTACAAGCGATATTATCGTTTTTACAAAACCGCAAACAACCGCAAACGAGAGACGCTGCCGTGTTTCCTACGTCGAAAATTTCATTTTCCAAAAGTGGGGTGCCGAGTTCACAAAGGTACACCCCGCGCCGCTCTCTCCCCTTCTTGCCTCTTTCGTCTATTCTCGGCACGCATACGCGTGCGAACGTTCCGAGTGGCATTTGCAATGCAAAGCTCGCCGCCACGAAGGTCATTAATTATGCACTCCGCGCCGCGGCGGTGCGCAACAATGGAGTCACCCGGCGTACACTCGGTATATGACTGTGCTAAGTTTTCCTCGTTATATTTTCGCGGCGGATGATCCATGCGCGCGCGAGGCAGGAGATCTCCTCAAGACTCGTGTCGATGATAGCGGGGGGGAAAAGAATGTCGCACGATACGCGGTCTTGACAAAAACAAAGATGAAAGTAACGGAGTTTTACGGTGAAAAAAAAAAGTTCTTTCATTCTCACCCCTTGGGAAGGTCTGTGCTCGCCGAAATGCGTACTTCGGAACTTCGAAGAGGATAGTAAGAGTCACCGGTAGCATGAAGGGATGAAACTTCTCGAGCGGTTGATTGAAGTAAGTCCCATGCAAATATTCTCCGAGAGGTAGGTAGGAAAAGGATAACTTTCGTACGCGAGTCTCAGGGTGACGCAGCTGCGACTCGCGTTAAATCGTCGCGCAGCGCCAATTCTTACGGTGGTGGTAGCATAAAATGAATTTAAGAATTTG